TATATATATATATATGTAGATCCTCGTTAATATATCTATACTTCTCCATCAAACCTTTCAATAAGTGTATAACTTCCATAGTAGACTTGCCCGACATGAATATGATTTTGAGGATTTTTTGTATCACACCATAATCATGTTCAATTACTCTCTCCTATAATTTTAATTCCGTCATTCTCTACTCTCCCATAAAGGTGTCAACGAGCTGAATTTGAGCTAGCTAAATTATGGTTCAGCGTGGCATGACTCTTTAAAATAACAAGATTAAATTTCATGTTTGTGTTTGACTCGGTTACTTATTGAGCGGCAATGAGTCGTTCATAAATATGAAGTCCATTCAAAAGTCTAATGTGAATTATAGAATATGCATCTCATCACATATATGTATTTAGTCCTAGAAATATAATATATTATAGATTTGTTTTTTGACTTTCATTGTAATGGACCCTGATTGATATAATACGTTAAGGCTGTATTGACTTTACAGTAAGAAATGGCTGCCATTTTGGCCTCTGCAATCATTTTGCTATTTCAAAAGTGCCTTTTTTTATGTAAATTGAAATATGGTGATTGTATTATTGTCCTTGCCGATCTATCAGTGCCTTGTCTTGCAATGAAAAATAGAAAATTTTCTTGTATTAAATTGGAGATTAGATAGCTTATTTAGTTCTTTTCTTCGATTATACGTGTTCAAAATCGATTTTTCTCGTGTTCCTTCTTATTCTCCTAGCGTTCCGTCTCTTTTAGTAAATCTGATTGCAAGACTGTTTTATTTGATCGTCACTCTCGTGACAAATCTAAATTGCAATCAAACATCATCTCAATCTTAATGTCGTTCAGTTCAAATGAAAATAAATCTTATTAGATATTCCGCATATTTATGTAGGTGTTAGTAATTAATTTTTTTCCTATGATTTAAGTGGGTCACTTATGATGATGAAACCGCTGACATTCTGTTATTTTATAGTATGATGATGACAAATTGTTTCCTTTCTTCCTGAACTTTCAAATGAAGAAACAAATTGTCCACTTCCACTTGCTTGTTTAGTTGCCTTTGGGGCCACATGAAAGCTACCCTTCACACCTCATATTCATTTCAAAATGTAATCTTGTTTCTCTAAAACTAACATAGCTAAGGATAGTTGTTAATTTGGGTCAGTGGGTCGGATTCGAATTTGACCAGATCTGAACTTGTATGCCTGATCCCGATCTCTTTATTAAACATGTAAACAAATTTGAGTTGAGCATCGCCTAATTAACACATCTAACATGAGACATATTAACTATTTAAGTCAATTGTAAGTTTGTGAGTCAACCTGAACCCGACCTAACAATTAAACGAATCAAGATTATAAACCCGAACCCGATCTGAAATTTATTTGAGTCAGCCCGAATTCAAATTTTTTGAAAGGAGTATGGATTTAGGTGCAATAAAATGTTGCATAAACATTAAATTTTCTCTAAGAATTAGTAGTTTATGGTTATTTGTAAAATATCATTATTAATAATTTTCAAAAGGTGAAATGCACCTTTTGTATGCACATAGACCACCCGAAACTTGCTATTTACAAATCAACCACCCTCTTTCATCCATGTTTCAAATTCTCACTCAAATGTTAAAATTCATGGTAAAATCCCAACCCATATCTTTCATTTTTATCAAATTCTCAATAGTTTGATGCTAACACACATAAATATATCAATTTAGTAATTCTAAAAAATCACCTGAATTATTAATTTATAAATATTAATGTTTTGGGTGCTCTGTTGTTAATTATCCCAATTTTTTTTATGTAAATGGTGGTTCTCATACAATTTTTTCCCCCAATTCAAGGCAGCAGGTGAGCAATCATATGTGAGGAACTTCCAACTGCACACCAAAAAACCATTTCTATGAAAACTTAGCTCCATCTTTCCATTAACACTGCTGCTGTATCTTCTTTGTTCATCAGCTAAACCTCACCACAAAATCAAACTACATAAAACAAAATACAAAACCAAATTTCAAATTTTTACGACAATTTCAAACGAATGTGTTCTTAAAACAATCAGCTTTAGCAGCCATTCTGTAGATACACGATTCTACCTCAATTTGCTAAGCAGGAGTCTCCCATATATCGAACACATTCGTCTCACTATGCAGAGCAAACAACCTATCGCCGCCGATCGAAATATCGCAGATCGGACCGCCGTAATTCGTCCCCAACGTCGTCGTCAACACCCACTCCGGTCCACAGAACACAGATATAACATCGTTCATCGACGAGAACAACTGTCCTCTGTGCATCACGAGCTTCGGGTAACAGCTCTCTTCTCCTCTAACCTTCCCCTTCATAAGCTTGCTCCTTGAACTCCACCTCACCCCTCCTCCATTCCTCCTCAAGTCCAAAAACCCCAAATCCTCGTACTGGTTCACCACACAGATCGAACGGTTGTCTTCCATCACAATGGCGTGGAGTACTCTCTTCTCATCCAGAGAAGCAGCCGCCGCCATTGTTCTTTCATCAGTCCATGACCAAACCATGTTCTTCTCTCTGAAATCCAATACTCCGATGAAACAGTTATCTGTTCGTGGAAACAATGTGGCCACCATCAAAAAGTTATCTCCTTCAATCCACTGAAGCTTATCGGCGTCCCCGAAGGAGCATCCAGGTGGTTGGTAGAAAAAATCCGACTGGTTTCCGGTGATTTGATCCCAAACTCCGATGCCGGACTCGTTGCATCTTCCCTTGCAGCTGGCGAAAATTTTGTAGCCGGGATTGCTGAAACAGAGAGCTCCGGCGGTAAAGGATTTAACTTTATTGTCGTGTGAGACGGGGAAGCGGTGGCGGAGTTCGCCTGAGGAGGGGGAGAAGAGGCCCATGCCGCCGCCGGCGCGGCCTGGGGGTTGGCGGGCGGTTAGGACGATTGTATCAGTGTCGATGTAGCCGACATCGTTGATTTGTTGGTAGTCGAGGTTGATGGGGTTGTGTTGGTCGAGCATCCAGTCGTAGAGATGGGCGAGGGTGCCGTGAGCGATGCAGCAGCCGCCGTCGGGGCTGGCGCGGACGGCGGTGGGGTCTCCAGGAGCGCGGCCGGCGACGGAGGAGGAGAGGTGGAGGCGGTTGCCGTCGAAGGGACCCCAACGGGCGGAGCGGACGTGGTCGAGGAGACCGTAGAAGAGGGCCTCGCGGTAGAGAAGTTTTTTGGGCATGATGGGAGGGATGTGGAGTTCGCCTGTGCGGAGGAGGTCGAGAAGGACGCCGAAGCAAGCCGGATTGCGGTCGATGAAGTACTCGCCGGCGGAGGAGAAAAGATTCCAGTTTTCATCGAGGAGGGCGCCGAGCATGGAGTTTCGGCCGGCGTTTGCGAGAGTGGTGGTTGTGGTTTCGAAGATCTTGCCGCCGACGTTGAAGCGGATGCGGTCGATCGCGTTCGCCATTGCGGATTCAATGCCCATGATTGGATTTGAAACAGGGGAGAAAGATCGGAGGGGGGGAGAAGGGATTGAGGATTTGAATTGAGGAAAAAGTGAGCGAAGGAGATCTCTTTTCGTCTTGTTCTGTCGTCTTCTTCCTCTGGTTTTGAGTTTTGTGAGAAAAGATGGCTCCTTTGGCGTACTCTGGAATCGGACGCTCCAACGGTTTAAAAGCTCTGCGAATCGATCTGTTTCAGCTAAGATTCTTAGAGGTGGAAGGGATAAAAATTAGAGCCAATCTTCATCTTTTGACGTCAGATTAGAAAAACTGCGTTTTCTAATCTGATAAATTATTGAGACTAGAATGCTATAAAGACATCACAGCAGTAGCACACCGCTATTTCAAACACACCCGTAAATGATCTATTAAAAGATTGAAATTTTCTCATAGTCACAATTCTTTAAATTATAATTGAGTTTTAAAGTAATATATTATTTAATCTTAAACTTGAGCTTATCATGAGTTTTAAATGAGTTTATTTGTGATCATAAATTAATTAACCTATAACACAAATGTTGAACTCATATTAATTATTTCTTATCATACATCTCTTAAGTGTCAAATCATGTTATTCATTTTAAATCTCACCATAAAAGATAATGTGATGCTAAATTTCGTAAAAAATTTAAGATAATTTTATTTTGTTTTAAACATACAAAGTTAATATTTTAATGGATAATTTGAATGGTCATTTATATTAAAACCACATAATTTTTTTGCATTTACATACTTAACACATAAGTTTTAATTTTTGCAATCATAACACTCATCATAATTAACATGACGAATTTGGATCCAACACCCTAAAAAATGTGGTTGGCATAAATCGTACCGATAACAAGAAGAGAAGCAATACCGAGGAAAAACACCTTAGAGATGCACTCCTAACAAATAACAAACAAAAATTGTTACCTCCAAGAAGCCAAATACTACGAATAACCAACTACCTTAGCCAACCTATCGTTCCATTCGAGAATTAGCCTGCGAAAAACCCCATTCGGCTGGCTACCCCCACACACTTGGCCTCGTTGGGGGCAACCGCAGTTTCACTTATCTTCTCTCTCTTACTTGCTTGTTTCCTCTCCCTCGGTCTCTATGCTCAATGCCTTGGACATAATTAACATGACAAATTTGGATCCAACACCCTAAAAAATGTAGTTGGCATAAATCGTACCGATAACAAGAAGAGAAGCAATACCGAGGAAAAACACCTTAGAGATGCACTCCTAACAAAGAACAAACAAAAATTGTTACCTCCAAGAAGCCAAATACTATGAATAACCAACTACCTTAGCCAACCTATCGTTCCATTCGAGAATTAGCCTGCGAAAAACCCCATTCGGCTGGCCGACGTCCAAAACCTACCATTGGCAAAATGAAATTAGTGTCTGTGACAGTCAAGTTCGATGATGCTTTTCATGCCTCCCGACCCTTTTCGCAGGACTTCTCCTGCACCTATTCTGATATGATCATTCTCTCACATTACATCGATTTCCCTGCCGACGCGCTCCGACGAAAGACGGAGCACTCCATCTTGAGAGCAAAAAGAAAAGAAAAGGAAGACCTTTATGCCTCATTTGATCGGCTTTCTTGTTCTCTTTGAGTCATTTGATCGACTTTCTTGTTCTCTTTCTCAAAATTTAAACCCACTGTGATCTTCTCTTTCAGGCAAATGGGGAGTTGTTACATAACATCATTTGTGCAAGATGTTGTGAGAAAGAAATACACAGATCAAAAAACTTTTATGTTGCATTGGCATTAATGTTCAATAACCAAACATGGTAAGATGAGCTAATTGTCAACTTAAGGTCTGCAATTAAGATAATTGTAACATGCCCTATAGTTTACTCCGACAATAAATTAGTATAATTCAGGAAAACGTGCAGTATGATGTGAAGGATGATACACTTCAATAATATTTGTTTGCAATATGATGTAAAGGATGATACACTTCAATAATGTTTGTTTAAGGTGAAGATTGGAATAGGAAAGTTTAAATATTTCAAGATCAATTATATTTCAAAGATGGAAAATTTCAAACTTGGAGCTAATTCGCCCAGCATTTAATAAGGTAGAAAACATGGAAGTTGAATGAGACAAGTTGGGTTATCGAACTCAAGAGTATTTGAAGACTATCCCAAAAATATCAAAGGCACAAGGTGTTTACACATTAGGAGGCAAGTTGTTCGAGAGATCGTTTCTCAAGTATGTAAAAGATGTTGAAGACCAACATCTGGGAGGAAGTTCACTTAAGAGAATTGTGGGAGACAATTAGAAGGACACATGTTATCAAATTAATTAAACCAAATCAATTATTAGAAAAATTTGAACCTATTAATTAAGATATAAAATCAAATAGAAGTATAATTAGGATATATTGATCAATTTTTTTATATCAAAATCGGTATTAAAGTTGTTTGATTTTATAGATGAGTATATAATTCCATTAAAAAATTAAAATTTTTATTATATTAATCTCAAAGTAAATTTAATGCGTTTAAAATGTATTATGATAAAAAATTTAATCATATATATATATATATATATATATGAAAACGAATTGGGGTCTAAAAAATAAAAAAATAATAATGTAAGCTGTTCTAATTTAAATAATCCCTATGCAAAAGGTTTTAATTCATACATGCATATGCCTACATATTTTATGAAGGTATAGTTGACCTTCCAACTCCTTGCCAATGTCATCTTAGTTTTTTTTTTAATGATTTGTCCCAAGCATATATTTTATCCCTTCTCCCTTAAATGATAAAAAAACTACTAACTTATTTATTTTCATTAAAATTTGATATAATTAATATTAAATTCTTAATATGTCTATATTCTAAATATTTATAATGAAAATTCTAATTCAAAGGCCAACTAATTAAGAAAAAAAATGTAAAATTATCATAACCAAATGTTCATAATGGCATAAAACAAATTTAATTTCCGATTTTTTGTTTTTACAATGAATTTTAGGAAATTTACATGCATACCACATTATTTTTATGTAATTTTGATATTTACATTTATAACTTTTTGTTGTCATAACCTATGCATTATAATTTCTATCTCTCTTAATAAAGGTTAGATATTTTTATATGATATAAATTAAAGATTTGAGTGTTATATATGTAAAACAAAAATTATGTGTCAAGTATGAAAATATATAGAAGTGCAGTGGTATGTGTGTAAATATCCCAAGAATTTCTCTCGAAATTGATTAATACCTAACAAATGTTTTTTTAATGCCCTAACAATACACAACCAGTTCTGTACTTAATGAACTTATTATTTTCATCTTGCGTTTCCCTAACACTAATTAAGATTGACACGTTCGACCACGCTGATTTCAACGCTTTAATATTAAATTAGAAAAAAATTAGAGCCTAATCACGTATTAATAATTCATTAATGATTAAACTCGATTAAAGCAACAATACCCACCACATGTGTGGTGGGATAATTAATGGTTGTCATTTGTAGAGAGTCCACCTATGGTTGGTTGCGTGGGAGTAATCCACTCTTGAGGTAATTCTGACGGCGCATTGATTAGAATGGTGCTCGGAAAAAATTATTATCGAAATTAAATTTCATTTTGTTTTGCCTTAATTTTGTTCATTTAAAATCAAATTTAATTTGTGTGTATATAATGTAAGTTGAATTATGGTAGAAATCTTAAAAGGAGATGGCCAAAGTGTCGAAGTAGAATATGATATTTTGATTGTTGATGTATATGAAAAATATGACAACACGAATCTCAAGGAAAACGAGCGACTCAGTAGGAAGGAATGACTGATCAGTCACACTTGTTGACGGACGACGAATTGGATGTTTTTGAAGAAAACATTTGGATCAAGCAACCGGAAGAATATGCCAAGAGAATCCTTATAAGACGACAATCGGCCCTCGGGCAGATTAGTAAATTATTTAATCTCATATAAATTATTGTTGTAGTTAAGGCGAGGGCAAGCGACCGACGAACTTTTTAATGACCGAATCAATCTCATTCTTATTATATTCAAATATCTTTGTAATTACTAAAATGTCCCTCTAAAAGCTAATAATAAGAGGACTGACATGTAGTTTTATAAGATTATGGCCTATTCCAGTAAATGGGCGGTCCATATCATAAATAAAGGGAACACATTTTTATTGTTCTTCCTTATACTCTATCTTATTTTGTCTTGCAAAACACGCTATATCTTAGGTGTGTTTCTTGGACACTCTTGGCTCCAACAGTCGATCTCCAAAAACTACAGAGAAGTGTGATTTTTCTTGATAAGATAATGATCTAGTCAAGTTAAATCATTGCTACCTATGATTGGATAATTAGTCATATGAGTGCCAATGTCTTCCTGAATAATAGAAATAATCATGAATTATTATAATCTTGATTGACTCAATATAACTTTAATCATGCCACCCTTTTATTTTTATAAGACATTGATTGATAAAATGTGGACTAAGAGTCTGTTTGGGATAGCTTTATGTCTGTTTGCTTTTCAAATTGCCAACGTAACTCCATTAAGGGAAATAATTTCTAGAAATTTATGTCATCGAAAGCTATTTTTTCGATTTAATCTGTTAAAGTGTTGGTTGTAATAAGGCTAATATCCGATTTTTTAATATATATATATATATATATATATATATATA